TATATATATATTATATATATATATATATATATATATATATATATATATATATATATATATATATATATATATATTTAATTTGCATGTTCGATCGCGCAAGGTCGCTTCTGTGCATTAGAGGAAACTATACGTGGGTGGTGAAAGGGAATTATTGAAGGATATTATAATAGTAGAAGCTTCATTTGGTCATCGTCGCAGCTTCTCGCGAAATAATTGCTATGCGTCATACGGATGTCGTCACATTGGTTTTTTTCATTTTGAAATTTTTTTACATCACGAGAATAATTTTCCTTTTGATATTTACGAAGAAAGATAAACACGATAATTGAAGCTTCAAGTATGACACTAAGCTTTTTCTGAAGATCTCGGAGACTTAATTGCGCGTTTACTCGCAGTTCAAGGAAGAGGTGAGAAGAAACGGGTAAGAAAAAGAAGCGAAGACCAGACGTGCATACGTGTTTGGGAAGTTGCGTGTCTATGGGAATGGGCATAGAGAGAGACCTCCAGACATCGGCGACACCGAAGATGTCGTTCGGAGGCCGCGACGTACAGTTATCTGACCGACTCCTTTTCTCGCGAGGAATATTTACGTCGTTTTCTTCTCGCGTGCACGTGAGCGCCTGTGCACTTGCGTGTGCACGTGACTGAATACGCACGCTACATCTCGATGGATGAGAGTTACGTGTACTTTTCCATATTGCAGCATAGTCGTGTCTGATTGTAATGACGGTTCGAATCATCCGTGCGAGGATGGTTAACAGTAGATTTAATCTAGTGTCTTCTTCGCCTTCCTTTCTTCGTCGCGTACATTCATCTGGAAGCATTTTGTCACGGAAACGTGTTTGTTATTGGAATATCGGGATGTGTATCGCGATCGTTTTCCCAATGATCCAGTGATCCGTTGAACTCGCGGAGTGGCCGGAGCAGGTGACATCCGGTTTATTCGACGACGGGCATTTCTCGGTACTATAGCAATCGGGATCGATGTACCCGCGATTTCGAGGTCATCCTCGTCCCCGGGCACATTGGGTCAGCTGGTCGACTTCGCGTCGCCCTTCTTTCCTCGGCGTCTGGCCTCCGGCCAACCGGGCCGTTTCGCGGTCCCCGACAAACCGGTCGTCGCGTCACGTTACCCAACAATCGGTAACGATCGCGGTCGCACCGACCGTACGTGGGAGAGAGAATTCGTGTTCAACGTTGTACACGCCGCGTGTACACGTTACTTCGATGCGACTTGGATCGCATTATGAAACGCACCGCGTCGCGATTACGCCAATCTGCTACATCGGCTCATCATGTATGTTAAGTCTGGGATCAGATTTCGAACAAATAGAATAAATTTGTATTTGTATGTATATGCGTTTCTTAACGAGGCTGAGACACGTCGGCACGTAACGCGGAATGGTGAGCGTTGAATTAGATTGCGAAATCGCTCCGGATGACAGTGTGACGTGTCGACGAACCTTCATTTCTGTTACTTTCGAGTTGCATGATTTCACGCATAATTTTCCCGCGTAGTTTCCCGCGCTCGTAGTATCGTAAGCTTCTAGCTTCTGGTATTCGAAGGCGCGTTTATTCGCGTTTGTAAGGCAATAAGGAGATACACGGGCCCACCTGACGATCGACTTCCACGTATGCAGCTGCATAATCGTGGTTGCATAGGCGACGGCTACCTTGAGCTCATTTGCTTGCGCGAAGAGAAATCCTCCGGGGATTTCGTAAGAACAATTCGTCCATTCATGTCGCGCTCTCTATGGCCTGCCGCTAATGTCCGAAAGATTTTTCTCCTTGTAAAAACAACGATTGCTGCCGGGCAATCTCGTTTAACAACGACGACAAGTGGCGTATTGCGACAATGAGATTCCACAATGATAGATAGGATCATCAACATTCCGCAATAAAAAGAGCGTTGCGAATCCATAAATACGTTTGATCCTACGACTTTCTACAGTTAGAACCTTTATGCTCAAAGATATTTCTTAGTTACGCAACTTCAAATCTGGAATTAATAATTTTTCAGATGATTTGTGTTGATTACGAAGTGTCGCTTTATATAAAATAATGAAGATTCTACAGCGGACTGTGCATTCGGTGGGTATCCACGTTAATTCTGTTGACGATACGTGTCGTAAGTCTTAAATATCTTGTGAGAGCGATGCGAATACCAAGGTAACCCAGTCGTCGACCAATACAAAAAAAGACGGTTTCGATCTCACTTTCAATAGTGGGCGACATCGTATATTACAAACCTAATCGGAATAATAGTACAGTACATGAAACGTGTGAAGTAAAAAGATACGACAAAAACTAACACGTTTCTTAAAGCACGTAACGAAGTCAAGTAATTAAGATTAGAAATCAATTCCAAAGTAAGGAAAGTCTTATGTTTCTTTTTATTATAATCGGATTTCTCAGGTTTCATAAATTTGCGTGCTCAGGAACTGAACTTTACGATGCTTGCATCAGACAACAACGACGAAATTACGTTAATGTCGTCGCTACCGTCTGTTTCCAGGTTGAAAATCCTTTCCTAAAAGGAGAGAATAGCGTATGATGAGGAAGCAAATTCTCCGCGCGATTTGTTGAAATCTGATTTTGCCACGGCGGCAGTTATGAATTAATTTCTCACGTTGCAAGCAACGTCGAGTTAACTGGCCGTGTAACCGTCAATGCGGCCACTCGGAAATGTATGTTTGCTTTGACTCGAGACGCACGTAGATACATGTAGTGAAACCAAGAATGATGATTACTTTTGCTTGCTCAATGATTTCCTTGCAACCAACCGGTGATACAACGTCTCGCGTCGAGTATCATCGTTCGTCTGTAATTTAGACGCAGTCGCAAAACACACCGTGTACATTCGAATTTCACAAGGGGATGATTTCCCTCCTATTGGAAACAGGCGTTTCGAAATCCCGCTTCGAAGGTGTGTACGATATCTCTACGAAACTGTCTGAGAGAAGATGTTTCAATCGATTCACAACTCTGCACGCTATTGTTTTCACACTAATTGAGAACGTATCGATCTTCCACGCTAAACTCGCAAGTAACATGAAATCTCGCGCTTCGGGCACCACGGAACGGGTTCGAGAGAGAAAGCGTTCGATCGTGGGAACCGGTAACGGTGGCACCAACGGATACGGTCTCTTGCGCGGATACAAATTCCTTAAAATACTCACTTTGGCCGCATGCTAATGGCCAATTTCGTGTGTGTGCACGCATACGTTTGAAGCAATGCATTAGACTAAAAAGCTTTCTTACAAAACGCTGATATTCCTTACAGGACTCTCTCACTAAGGACTAGTGACGTAGTGACGTACTTTTGTCGAGATAATTTCTATTGGAACGATATCACGAGGAGTCAGGTTTCCGAGGAGAAACTTACGGAAGAACTTACATAGCACAGATACCATTTGAACATTCTACTCGTTGTAACCCCCTGCCATGCGTAACGTCGCGTTCACTCGCCGTTTAAGTGACAAGTCCACGGTGAGATTCGTTAGTTCGATATCCATCGGGTAACTTTGTACGGCCAACCAACCGGAAAATGACAAGTTGCTTCCGCAATATCCGATGTCTTTCTTGCTCCTTCTTGCCGTATAAATGTTTCTTGACACAACTAACATGGGTCGCGCTCGTGCGAGCGTAAAAGAAAGTAAACTGACGGGCGAGAAAAGAAATGCGCTAATGCATTACATTTACATGACGCACAGATCGATTTTGCTCATTTTATCAAACGAAACTGTTTTCTTTAAGTTAAACAAAAATAAAATACGGGCATCTACTTATAAAGATATGTCTTTTTATGATTTTATCTTTTATTTATAAAGATATGTCCTATTATCTTTGATAATAATTTAAAAAAATATTGATTAAAACTTTATCCTTCAATCTGTTCAGGAAAATTTAAATATTTTTTAGTATATCATTTTCCTAAAGATATAAAGAAAGAAATAATTAATAATAAAGAAAGAAAAAGTTTAGTCTTTCATTTTTATCTGTATTATTTTAATTGCTACATTTCTATATATAGGTGGCACGATTGTGTGTCTCTTGATCAATGAAAAAGAAAAATATATAGATATTGAACTATCATCTCGCCATCATAAAAAAGATGTCAGAAACGAAGGCAAAAGGTATCGACGGTCTCTACAGTGATTGCTGGTAACGGTATTACTCGTTATTTCGTGTCGGCTTCATCGAAACCAATAGATCTTTTTTTCACGTCTTCGAAACGATCTGATGACGCACAGCACAGAGTGCGACGTTGAAAACATATCGTCCGCTATTTATTTCTACCATTTATTAAATTACATATTTGTAACGTATTAGTATCAGCTTCGTAATATCAACAGATGCAGACGCATGACTAATATTTATCACGTATAAATTCCTAGATTCTTAACCTTTCGCTTTTATTTATTCGTTTTGGAATCTATTTGATAAAGCAATTATTTATCCTGTCTGTTTAGTGGCATTTATGCCATAACGTCGTTGAAATTGCACGATTGCTAATTCATATTGTTAATTCTTGAAATTGAATTCTGAAGCAATACTGCGCGTA